GCGTTCCAGACCTTGATTGGGTTCTCGACGGGCGAAAACTGGGACAATTTTATGTGGGAAGTGTACAATCAAGTGCCGGCGACCAATCCGACGTGCGAGGACCGATCGTACGACCCGACCATGTGCGGCTTTAACGACACGTTTCCTTGCGTCCCACTCGACGGATGCGGGTCGTGGTTGATCGTGCCGTTCATGTATGTGTTCTACTTGGTGATGGGTTACATTGGAATCAACTTGTTTTCCGGGATCGTGGTCGACGCGATCGGGGACGCGTCCAGCGACTGCCCTGTCAACGTCAATACGCTCGCCGAGTTCTCGGATCGGTGGGCCAAGTTTGATCCGTCTGGCACAGGCCTCATCACGGCTGGCGAGCTGACCGACTTTTTGTACACCGTGTACCCGCCGTTCGGGTTCAAGGGCGTGCCGGGGTTCACACGCCGCCGCGTTGTGATTGCGATCGGTACGAGAGTGACGTGTTTCAGTGCAGACTGAAGGTGACTCTGAATGCGGGCGTAGGTGAGCTGGACATTCCTGTGTACGATAAAAAGTATGTGCACTTCAAGGACGTGCCGCGCGCGCTGGTCCAACGTGTGCTTGCCGGGGTATTGCTCGCTTGTTGTTGCAACCTTACGCTCACGGAGCTTTGACCAGGGCAACCGCGAAAAGCATGCCGAAATTTCCCAAGTGATGGAACGCCTCGGGATAAACAAACAATTCGACGAGATGTGGTTTCGAAACCACGGCAAGCGACACCAAGCAAACTTGCTCAATAGAGACAAGTCCCACGTCAAGGAGTACTCGGCTTCCGTAGTGATCCAGCGATTTCTCGCGCGTCTCCGACTCAACCGACAGCGACAGCTCTCCAAGCCCAATCTGAGCCACCAGCCGTTGGATACAGGTCCACTCGTGGTCCGTCCAGTTGGACCTTCGTTGGCGCCATTGGCAATGCCTGCCGGACCCGCCGACACGTGTCTGAAGCCACTGATCAAGGTCCAGAACGGTGTTGTGGTGTCCACACAAACTGATTTTTCACCTCCGGAGCTTTGAATTGTCCCGAGCAGTCCTGCCAAACCGTCGCCTGTCCTGACTACTCAACTGGTCTTAGCCGAGCCTCACCCTGCCTTGACTCCTTCTGTGCAAAACAAACAGACTCGTTACGAGCCCCCCTCTCCTGGAACTGATCCAACCCTCTTGCCCGTTCCTTGGACACGACGTACTA